CATATTTGATATTATCACAGAGGCGACTTTGAAGATGGTCGTCTTCTGGGTTGCACATAAGTTTACTGATATCTCAAAGGTGCTTGCTGCCTCTATCGTCAGGGCGACCATCGTCCGGCTGTTTGTGCAGGGCAGTCCTTGTCTTACCTTCGGAGCAGTGGAAACATCCTGAAGGTGTGCTTCCAGATGCGTGTGAATATTAACATTTACACTGGAACTTATTTGGCAATATTGCACTGTCAAACAGCCCGGATGCTTCTAAGGTAAGTAGTCCTTAGTTTACAGTACATGATTGTTCTCCCAGTCCTACTTACCAGTCTCGCATTCCTCGTCAATCTTTCTACTCCGATTTTATCTCGCCTTGAAGGTATGCTGTCAATCATCGCCCTGATGATAGCAGCAGCAGGCACGTCTTCCATAAACTTCTACCAGACTACATTGGCCAACGCATTGAGAACCTCAAATTGCACTCATTAAAATTTTGTGGATAAGTTTTTCGAGGGCTGCTAGAATTTGTTGTAAAGCTTGACGAGAATTTAAAAACTCATTTTGAAACTGCTATCGTTTTCAAAGGTAACTCCAAGACAATCCAAAATGAGCTGCTAGATTGTAGTTTGAGAGTTTGCCGAGCTGGAATAGCTGTTGAAATTAGTCGTGAAAAATTTCTAGCTGTTGTGTTCCATGTCACAACAGATGTTTCTGAGAAAAAACAGGAATTAGTTGTCTTTCTCCATGAAAATGAACCCACAGTGTATGAAAGGTTGTGGGTGTTTTACAACGCCAATTCACAAGAGGCAGAGTTTTTGTCAGATATGTTTTATAAAAACTGGGTGTTGTTTTGAAATGTGACCTCAACTGCCAGTTCCCACTGGCCAGCGCGACACAAAGCAACGGACGGTCTACCAGCAACATCTTACTACCTGCCGTCCACCGTCAGTTTCCAGCAGAGAGCGCGAAACAAAGGAACAGCAACTCTGAAGATGAGAACAAAGATTGTTATCGAAACGTTGGCAGAAGAAATTATGGGTCCAGGTAGGAGATAGGTAGTACATAGAGGTGTAAGTATAATTAAACACGAAACCCCGTGTAGTGAGATTAAGGAGAGGTACTGAACTTAACAACACTGCTCACAAGAGAAGTGTGCAGACAACTCAAGGCGCTGTGGGCTGCTGCTTGTTTATTTGCAGTTTGTTTAACGACGCTGTCAGTAGATCAGACTATAAGCCTACAGCCTAAAAATGATCGGATGATTAAAGAGAAATTAATTCGAATGATGCGGTCTTTGCCTCATTCAAAGTGCCACAGTATTTGCTGAGGGAGACCACGAATAACCTCAGACAGGACAGTAGGTCTCTGGACCGATATTTCAGTCCAGGAACTCGCGAATACGAAGCGCGAGCACTAATCAATCACTCGACCGCGACGTTCGGCGTAGTGGAGTAACATCACGGTGATGTCAGGGGAAGACGTTGCAGGCCCTTCGGCGTGAAGAACAAACTGTATCACAGAAACTTGTCCTCTGCGTCCATATGTGCTATCTGGGTTCGCCCTAGATGGAAAGGGTGACTGTCTCCTTGTTGTCACTACTACCTACTTTCCTTTCTGTCAATCTGTTCCCTAGCTTCGATATTTTCCCGTCAGAGTGCGCTCTGGTCTTTTGTTGTCTTGGGACGTGCGGGACCAAACTGAGTCCCTCACTCTTGGGCTGGAGGATGACTCCCCGGACTTCGAGAGAACGGACTGGGGTGCATTCCAGGCTTGCCTCGAAAGCAGACTCCCGGAGAATCCCGTGGTAAACGACGAGGAGGCAATCGACAAATGCGTCGAGTAGCTGACCAGTGCTATCCTGGAAGCCACAGCAGCGTCCGCTCCCAAGCTTCGACCGCCGCTTTGACAGGCGACCGCCCCTCCCGTTAGTATTCAGGATGAAATACGCCTGAAGAACCGGCTGAGGAGGCGGTGGCAGGTCACGAGGGACCCCGCTCTCAAGACCCAGGTCAACCGACTCCAGAGGTCGGTGACCTATCGGCTCAACGAGTGGCGGAACGAACAGTGGAGCGACACGCAGGAATCCTTGGACTGCGAGGACCAGTCGCTTTGGAAGATGACTAAGCGGGTGATGCGAGTCCCCACTCCGTCGCCCCCCTTGCTAGTGCCGGGAGGACTGGCTCTCTCAGACTCAGAGAAGGCAGAAGCCCTGGCCGACAACCTTGAGGTCCAGTTCCAGCCGGTGGACGACCCGTCGGACACGGCTGTAATTGACATGGGTAACGAGGGGATGAAAGCATACGCGTATGCCCCTGCAAGTGACCCGAAATTAACCAGCCCCTCGGAGGTCTTTCAGGCCATCAAGGGACTCAAGGTTGGCAAGGCTCCGGGTCCCAACGGTATACCGAACAGGGTCCTGAGACCTCTTCCACGGCGCGCGATAACCTTTCTCACGAAAGTGTTCAACGCGGTCCTCCGCAGGCAGCACTTCCCCTCGGCATGGAAACACGCTCGCGTGATGGCCATACTAAAACCTGGGAAGGACCCCACGCTACCTTCTTCCTACAGACATATCAGTTTTCTTGACACGGTCAGCAAGCTCTGAGAGAGGGTCCTACACGAGGTCAGCGAACGCGGGCTGCTGCGCGACGAGCAGTTTATGTTTCGACCCAGACACAGCATGTCGATGCAGCGGCTCGCCTCGTCGAAAGGGTCAACAGAAACTCTGACGAGAGGCAGCTAAACGGCGCGGTTTTCCTGGGCGTGGCTAAAGCCTTCGACACAGTCTGGGTCGAAGGCCTATACAAGCTGACCGTCCTCAACTTCCCGTCTTACCTAGTGAAAACCATCTCTTCCTACCTCGCTGGCCCGACGAAAAATGCCGCATCGCCGAGGTACATGAATGGAACGCAGAAATGAAAAGCGAGAGCAAGTGCGCCCTCGAGTAAGGCGAGGTCATAGGAGCGCCCGAGTACATGATTTGGCGTGTTACAGGGTCAAACAGCACCGCGTCTTTTTTTATACCTTACAACAAATAACATTGGTGTTCGAACTGGTAGTACCCAAGACGACGACACATTCCGTGCAACGCAACTGAGGATTCGCGGGGGTGGGAATTCTTTGTGCTTTTATCACACCACGTTTTTCAGCAATGAATTTGTACAAAACATTTAACTCTTCATTATTATAGATCTTGATAATGCGTCATCCAAATACACTTAATTCATATATTCTAAACCAGAGTACGTATCACTGGAAGCGGACCGGTACCAGAGTTCACAACTAATAAGGATTGCGCATACTTGTGCCCGGAAGTATCTCGTTCTATATTTCCACATATTTCATTATTATAGCCCGATGTATATTGCAGCCTGTGGCAACGTGTCCCTGTCTCTGCTGTTCCCGCTTCCAAAAGTTCCGGTTTCACAGCCCGTCTTGCCTCTTCCTTAGGTAAAACACGAGGGCATCTGGCACAGCAGGTCGTGTTCTTGGAATCTCACACTCCCACGGTGACACGAAAGTTAACTTGGGTGGTGAAAATATAATTTCACGTGTGTCGTATTTTGCCAGACAAGGGCTCCAATACCACATTTTTCAGCTCAGGGAAAATTTACTTCTGTATTACGTACATACTGTAGTATCCGCTCTTTCTGTTAATGTAAAGCCTTCAACTTAGCGCATTTCATAAAGTCCGCGCCACTAAGATGCACGAAGTGGAAACTTCCTTCCAGATTCTAAAAGAACCTCACGCTTTCTCTTCCTGGTCCATTTTAATAATATACCAAAGACATAAAAAGTGACCGGGAGTAAAGAATTACGCCAGCAACAAAAGCAGTGCGGGTGCAGAATTAATCGCAAGAAGAGCTGCTGAAGTTCAGAACGGTTCCAACTAGGCAAGTGACGGCTACTAAAAGAACACAGGACACTGCCTCTTAAGAGGACACCTCTTCAAACTGGGGAAAGTAAATCATCCCATTTGTATAAAATGCTACGTAGAAGCAGCTTTGCATGTTCTTTGCTACTGCGAGGCTCCGGCTCCATGTGCATACATGCACAATTACAGTAACAACGGGGAAACTAAAGGTACAATTTGGCTGCACGCGACAGAGACAAGCGACCGAGGCAGGCGACAGAGTTACGAGACCGAGACTGGTCGCTTCCTGTCTGCTCTCTGTACAATCGTATGAAGTACAATTACGAGCGCGAGACAAAGACAGGCGACAGAGACAAAGCACAGGAGACCGCTCTCGGACCA